ATACTAGATTTAAATCCCAGCTCCAGCACTATCAGTGCTCCAGCAGGAAATAGGATTCAACTAAAATGATTCAAATGAAGAGACTTGGCTTCCAGGTTTTGCTTGAGGATGTAAGAGCTAGAAAGAGCATCGTTCCCAACCTTACAATGAAAATAAGCCAGACAAATGGCAAATTCATGAGTTTTCCTTGAACTCCTTCTCTGAGGTCACAGGGCAACCAACTGGCAAAATCCAAGGAGAGACAGACTCCTGAAGAGAAAGACAAGATGTGAGCACTAGCTTCCCTGGGGTAGAAGCAACCAGTCATGCGTAATAAGGGTTCAGTTAGGTTGGTTGGTGAATTTATAAAGGCTAAGTGTGTACTGGCAAGAAAGTATAAAGCCCTTGGAGGCTGCAGACATTGGGAGAGTCCACATCCTCTTCAGAACTTTTCTCCACAAACCCCATCAGGTACTCACAGAAAAGAGTAGAGAAAGACTTAAGAAAGTGTTCCTTGTGTAGACCTGGGGGAGGGGTACAGCAGCTGCTGAGGGAGGGGCACACATATCTGCCTGTTCCACCCAGACCTTTCTCACCTTATCTCCTACATGGAACAAAAGCCTTAATCTGTGGAGAGAGGGGCAACTGACACTATCCTACTTAGGCACTGGTGGAAACTCATTGCAGCTGAAGGAAGGAAGAAAAAAAATTTTAACTACTGCTAGGAGAGTAACAGGAATATGTAATGGGCCCAGAATTACAGCCTGAAAAGGGGCAGGAGCACAGAAGAGGCCACACTCCTGAGACTCAGGGACACATGCATATATAAGACTGAGGCTTAATCAGAACAAGAGAGAACTCTCTTATGCTCACTACCCACTACCACTTGCTAAAAAGCTAAATATAACAATGAAAAGCAGAATACTACTGGGAAAGAGATAAGAAAGGGATGAGAACATGGAAAGAGACCCTTTATAAGGCCCAGCACAAAGAGGGGACCTAAAGCTGAGAATGGAGTAGACATTGAGGAAAAAAACCCTCTGGCAAACCAGTTTTTCCCCCTAAACACAAGGTATTGCTGGAGGAATTTAAAGCCTGTGATGCACTAAGGTTAACCATAGAAACAACAAACTTCAAACCAGCCCAAATCCTAATTAAATTAACTCGAACTCCCTCACTAAAGTCCTAGCAGAAGGAAACACATCCCCATTTCCATAAAACCTGTTACCTTAGTCTCTACTGTGCTACACAAGATATCACACTTTAAAGTGAACATGCATACAAAAAGGCAAGAAAAATCAACACACTCCAAAGAGACAAAGGAATCATCAGAATCATACTCAGATATGACACAGATGTTGAAACTATCTTTCAGAGAATTTAAAATAACTATAATTACGTTAAAGGCTCTAATGGAAAAGGTGAACAATATGCAAAATCAGATGGATAATTTCAGCAGAGAAATTGAAACTATAAGAGAGAATCAAATGGAAATGCTAGAAAAGAAAAACACAGTTACAAAGATGAAGAATGCCTCTAATGGGCTTGTCAGTAGACTTGACACAGCTGAGGAAAGAAGATGCATTGATAGAAATTACCCAAACTGAAACACAAAGAGAAATGAGTGAAAAAATACAGAGCAGGGCATCTAAGAGCAGGGGAACAATATCAACTGGTCTAATATGCATGTAATTGGAGAAGAATTCCAGGAGAAGAGAGCAAGAAGAAGGCAGAAGAAATATTTGAAGAAATAATGGTTGAGAATTATCCATAATTAATGACAGACACTAAACCACAGACCCCAAAAAACTCAGAAAACACCAAGCAGAATAAACACACACACACACACACACACACACACACACACACACATCTAAGTATATCATATTCAAACTGCTGAATACAAAACAAAAAGAAAATCTTGAAAGCAGCCAGAAAAAAAAGAGGCATTTTATACAGAGGAGCAAAGATTAAAAATTACAGCCAACTTCTCATCAGAAACTGTGCAAGCTGAAAGACAGAAGTGCTGAAAGGAAAAAAAAACAAAAACAAAAACCAAAAAAAAAAAAACCTGTCAACCCAGAATTCTATACCCAGCAAAAATATCTTTCAAATGAAGAAATGTTCTAGAGGTGTAGGCAGGGATAAAGGAACTAAGAAAGGATGTGAGGCACCCAGGCACTAAAAACAGTGAACAATCATGACCAACATGCAGGCTTAAGGGCAAGGCAGGGAAGGAATAGAGTATTAATTACTGAAGCCCAGTGGGAGCTATGACCACAAAAGAGAAGCCATCTGGTAGAAGCTGTAATTGTGGATAGATGCAGCCACTATTAGAAATATGGCACTAAAGGAGATAGGGAGTGAGTAGAAACTTCTCTTGACCTCCAGTCTCTTACCAGTGCCTGACATTGACTGAATCCAACCAGAAGCAAGCCAGCAAGGGGTCTCAGTAATGCAGTCTGCAAGGGTCAGCCCTTCTGGGCACAGAGAATGGCAGAGAAAGGATCTGAGGGGGAAAACAGAGAATAAGCAGAACAGACACTGACTGGCTCTGTGATACTGTAGACACAAGTGGCAGAGCCAGGATTCAATCCCAGATCCACCTCAATCTTAAGCACTTTCCACCAGACTCATTGCCTCAAGTACAACATCAGCAAGAGAGAAGACCTACAGTGGTAAGGTAGACTAGATCTTGGAAATCCTGAAGGCTAGAATTCATTACTGGGACTTAATTCTATAGGAAATGGGCAGCAAGTACAAGTTTTTATTGCAGAAGCCCAAAAGTGCCCTGGCTCTGATACAGTTTGGGAGTAGCTAATGATGTAGTGATGCCATCTATGATAGTGGCCTGAGGCCAAGGGAACTATTGGTGTGCATGGGCTGTGAACTCTAATTATTCACAGAGGATACAGTGTCCAATTCCTCTTGTTGATGATGGTGTTGTTTGAAACAGTCATAGATGAAAGTCATAAAAATCAAATCTTTATTTTCCAACCCAAAAGTCTGATCAGCAAAAAAGTTAGCATCAGAGAGGCAATTTGGCATTTTCCTTGCTGGCTGCACATAGTAAGTGGCTTGAGGAGTGAAGTATTGAGTGTGAAGAAGAAAGCCTTGCAGTGTGTGTGCAGATACCCTTTAGTGGTCCTCTTCTGAGAGCAAGTTCACAGCAACTGTATGAATCTTTTATGGTTTTCTTTCCTCATGCTCCAAAGATGCTTTAGGAAAATGGAGTGAAGAAAAGTCAGTGGAAGGAAATAATGGAAAGCCAATCATCTGGCCATCTCTATCATACCCCCAAATAGGGACTTGCCATCACTGCAAAGTCAATTGCAGTGATATCAAAGCAAAGCATCTTGAAGGAAAAACTGTCAGCCTTCTTGACCCACTTGAGATTTCCAAACACAAGTTTTTCTTTAACGTAGTGATGAACACAAAGGTTATGATTTGAAACAGCATCACTTTTATGGGAAGCCTGATGAAAGAACACAGACTTTAAGGTCAGACAGACCTGACTTTGAATCCTGTTCCTCTGCTAGCTGTGTGATCTTAGGCAAGTTAGTTATCCTTTCTGAGCCTCATATTCCTGAATTGTGAAATAACAATAATAATACCTACCTCAAAAGATGGTTATGAGCACGGTGCTTGATAAATACCTAAAAGGTACTCCGTGAATATTAGTGAACTTTCCCTTCCTCATATGGAAGGGGGAGCGGGTAAAAGGGGTGGAATTCTTAGTTATTCTCAGTCCACATCTTGAAAAAACAATAATAATAGCTACTGTTTATTTATTCAGTCATTCATTCATTAATTCATCCAAGAAATATGTATTGAGTACCTTTTATATGCTGGGTACTCCTCTAGGCCCTGAAAATACAGACAAGGTCCCTATCCTCATGGAGCTTATATTCCAGTGGGAAGAGACAGACAACGAACAAGTAAACATATAAACAAAATAATAAGTACAATTGGGCCAGCCCCGTGGCTTAGCAGTTGAGTGCACGCGCTCCGCTGCTGGCGGCCCGGCTTCGGATCCCAGGCACGCACCGACGCACTGCTTGTTTGGCCATGCTGAGGCAGCGTCCCACATACAGCAACTAGAAAGATGTGCAACTATGACATACAACTATCTACTGGGGCTTTGGGGAGAAAAAGGGAAAACCAAAAGGAGGAGGATTGGCAATAGATGTTAGCTCAGGGCCGGTCTTCCTCAGCAAAAAGAGGAGGATTGGCATGGATATTAGCTCAGGGCTGATCTTCCTCACACACACACAAAAATAAGTAAGTACAATGAAGACAATAAAATAAGATAGTGTGATAGTGATGGGAGGACCCATCAGAAAGGGTGATCACAGAAGGCCTCACTGGAGTGATAACATTTGAACTAAAACCTGAGTAATGAAAGGAACTAACCAAACCAAAATTGGAGGGAAGAACATTCCCTGCAAAGGGAACAGTAAGTGTGAGCTGGCTTGAGCTTGGCATGTTTGGAGAACAGAAGGAGAGGTAGTGGAATGCAGGAAGTACGAGGAATAGAGTTCAAGGTGAAATCAGAAAGAGAGGCAGGAAGGAGCAGGTCATTCAGCCAACATTCATTCACATTATTGAGCACCTGCTATATGCAAGGCACCCTTCTAAGTTCTGGGGGTACAGCAGTGACCCACCACAGTCCCTTTTTCCCTCAGGGAGATGACAAGAAAACAGAACTGAGTGCCCTTCCCCTAGGGCTACATTGCTGGCAAGTGTAGAGCCTGGATTCAAAGCCGAGACTTTCTGGCTCCAAGGACCTTCCCACACCAACACGTTCCTTCCATTCCTTTTGGTTAGAAAGAAAGAAAATTTGCCAGTAATTAAAGTAAAGCTGCGACAGACATAACTAAGACGTTGTTCAGAAGTCACCCAATCACGGGGCCAGGGTCTGAAGCAGCCACTTGGAATCCAGCAAGTGCAGAGAACTATCCCCCAACACCTTGTTGAGCAGCACCAGCCTCCTTTCTCTTAGCAGCTCTGGAGCAGGAAGAGAAAGGGCTCCACTGAGGGGGCCACAGGGCAGAGGTGTTCAAGGTCTAGAAGATGGGCAGCTCCATTTCTTCCCCACAGAGGCAGAAGCAACAGTGTTCTGATGGGATAATCACAGTTATTGATCAGGCAGCAGAGAGATCCAGTGGCATTTCTCAAGCTCTGGAAGGCACTGAAATGAATGAATAGGAGACAAGAAAATTCTATAAATTGGCTGTTCTATTTGATGTTCATTTAATTAAGACATTCAGTCCTTTTAATGGAAAATGTGAGGAGTGGAAATTACTGTTTTTTGGCCATCTCGTATAAAATGAAAACCAGATCTTGAAGGCATGGGTCCTTTTCATTGTATCTTCTTCAGGCTCAATTTAATTATGTATTACAGGCTATCTTCAATAATAATTACAATCGTCTGCCTTTATGCAAAGCCTCTTTCTGTCTTGGAGAGTAAAACTCTGGGGAGAGGCCTACGGAGATTGCTGAAGTATCATTTAGTGAAAGTGGTTATGTCCATATTTGTGCATTCAGTTGATGTTTATCATGTCCCTACTGTGTGTCAAGCCTCTGTCAAGTCCTGCAGGAGGTAGCATGTGAATGAATCATGGTCCCTTTCCAGCAGAGCAGGAAAAAGGCTTCACACATCCAATCATGCATTCATTTATTTGTTCAGCCAACGTTCCCTGCCTGTCTTCTCTCTGCCATTCCCACTGCTGGAGCAGCTAACATGAACAGAGCCAGTCCTCCAGGGCCCCGTTGCTGGCAGGTGGTAGGATCCAGAGTCCCAGTCTGGCTGTCTGACTCCACAGCCCTGTCTTGACTCAAGCACTCCCAGGCCGAAGCGGGAGACAATTTGAACATCAGCTATTACGATGCAGGGGACACAGTCTGTGACAGAGCTGTGCCGGAGTATCCCTGGGAGAAGAAGGGACGGGAGAGACCAGGGAGGGCTTTATGAAGTGGCCTTGGGCAAGGCCTTGTTAGAAGTAGTATTGAAGTGACATCTGACCCCTGATTAATAATCTCTCTATCAAGTCTTATTTGTAAGGCTCCATAACTCCCTTTTAAGTATCTTTTTAAGTATCTTGGTATAATAAAATCTCTGTTATCCGGTTAGGTCAGGAAATTAGATAGTCTGAGTAAGTAGTCTCATTAATAAAGAGTATGTACATGGATAACAGGACTAGCACAGCATACCCATCCCCTGAACCTGTGGGACCGAAATGGATCTTCCTGTTGATTTAAAAGATGACTCAGGGTCCAACAGGGCTCCGTTACTCATAGACCACAAATACAGTTAAGATGACCAGGGCAGAGCCAATTTTGGGGGGTCTTGATTTGGGGCTCAGGAATTTGGAGTGTGCTAGTTATTTTACTGAAAAGGCCTGGAGAGTGATATTGGCAGATATCCTATAAGTGAGACTCTACAAATGCCGGTAATTTAAAAGGTCCTCTTCCCCAAGATGGCCATGCTCATGAGCTCCTGGTATGTGGCATCACTTGGGTTGTCAAAGCACTTTTCTGATTATGAAAATAATCCATGTTAATTATAGAAAATCTTGGGGATATAAAATATAAATACATAAGCAATTAAGATCACCTGTAATTCTACCTTCCAGAGATAACCACTGTAAACGTTTTTGTGAAATTCCTTCCTGTTCAAATTTTCAGCAACCATAAGGGTTAAAGAGAACCTACAGTTAAAGGGAACAAAACTCTGAATGAGTCTGCAGGTGAGAGAGGCCTTCGGACAAACATTCCAGATCTTTACCCCAAAGATCGTTGCCATCCTTCCTAGCAGCAATCTCTCAGAATCACTCCCTCACCTGGCTCTGAGCGGCACTCTCACCTTTGACCCTCCAGTCCAGGTTTCAAGCCACACCATCACTCTCCCCTAAGGCAAAGTGACCTTTTCTTATGAGAACCTGACTCAGTAGTAAGGAAGAAAAATGAGAAATCATGACAGGAAACAGGTTTCCAAAGCCCTTTAACTGCCTATAGGAGAGCCCAAAGGACTGATATAGACCCACAGCCTTGCCCCACCAAGCCCAAGCCTGAGGTATGGGTAGAGACCACTGAGTTGCTCGCCATCTTGGAAGAGCTTCCGTTCCCCTGCCTCAGGCCTCAGCAACAGAGAGATTCAACTTCCTTGGCTCTTCCCCCAGAGTGGGACTTGTGTCCAGGACTGGGATGATTCATTCAAAACACCGTTACCAACACCTCCTCTGTGGCAGACTGTGCCAGGGACTCTCACCATTCAGTGTACAGAGTGTCATGATCAGTGCCAGGCACAGGTTCAGAAAGAGCTGGCAGATGGCAGAGTCCATGCAGCACCCAAATCTGACCTGAGCAGAAAATTGCTCAGCGAAGGCCTGCCTAGTCTCACCCACTAAGTCTCACCTGAAACCATGGAAACTGCAGGACCCAGGGGTCCTGGCAGGAAGCCAGGCCCAGCTGAAGAAATCATGAGAAGAGCCAGGATGGACCTGAACTCTCAGGCCTTTCATTTCACCATAGTTAAAACCCTCAGGGGTCCAGAGGCCAGCTTTACTCCAGGATTAGAAGCAAGGCAGGAAGAAAGTCCAGTAGGGAGACCCAGAGTACATGGGGGAGACATATATGGCTGAACCCGTGCAGCAAGCTTAAGCATGAGTAGAACTCAGAAATATTGACATCTGGATGAAGAACTCTTCCCCCATTCACACACAAATGCAAAAAGGCTATTTAAACCTACCTTTTGACACTTCAGCCTCCCATAATTAAAAATAATAACTAAAATGTTAATAGCCTACTCCCTGCCCCCTCCCAACCACTCTGCAGCAGGTGGGAGAGCACACCTTGCAAATGGACGGTACAGAAATGCTCGTTGAAGACAGAGAAGCAAGTGGTGGCTTGGAAGCAGATAGATCTGAGTTTGAATTTTGACTCTACCACACTTATTAGGTGTGTAACCTTGAGCAGGTGACTTAACTTTTCTGAGCCTCCTCCAAAAAGGAGATAATATATACTTTTTAGAGTAGTTGTGAGGATTAAATGAAAGAATGTATGAAAAGCCACTGGCACCATACCTGGTACATTGTAGGTGTTCAAGAATCACAGGTCTTTTATTATTATCAGGAGAATGGGAAAGAGAATTAAAATTCAATTATGACGCTTCAGAAAAACCACACCAGAGCAAAGCTGTGAGTTCTGAAAGCTGCAGATACACAGCTGCTTGGTGCTAGATGTGAAATCTAGATGGGCAGAGGTTGCAAGAGCCCATCTGTCTAGCCTGCTTATGCAGCAGAGTCCTGGTCTGAATTCAGAGTACCCTTTTCCCAGAATCTGTAGCTTCCTAGGAAGCCCCATCTCTAGTGTTGTTCAGGAAGAAACTGTATAACCAGTTCTTGGGGGTTTTGAGAGGGGATTCAAGCATTACATTTGACCACTTCCCCTCTGGGAGTGCGTCCCCATGCCCCCCACCCCCACCCCAAGACTCTGGGTCAGCAATCTCATATGGCCACCAGCATCTCACCCTTCTTGGGTGAATATTGGTTTATAGCTACAGGGAACTTCCACATGTTCCTCACAGTAATCCTGGGTGGTAGGCAGAGCAGGAGTTATCATCTCCACTTTATGGAAGTAGGAAAGGAAGACTCAGAGAGGTAAGTCGTTTGCCTGCAGAAGGGTATCAGCAGGTGGAGTCGTATCCTGAAAACTATGTGCAAGGAAATGTAGGAGACATGGAAATGTATTCGACCAGAAGGAAATACAATACTGTGGCATAAGGCAGAACATGCCGAGTTCCAGCTATAGCAGTGTTATATTTCTGTTACTCAGAGCCACCCCTTGGTTTTCAGGTATGACAGCTTTGGCCGCCTGACAAATGTGACCTTCCCTACTGGCCAGGTGAGCAGTTTCCGAAGTGACACAGACAGCTCAGTGCATGTCCAGGTAGAGACCTCCAGCAAGGATGATGTCACCATAACCACCAACCTGTCTGCCTCAGGTGCCTTCTATACACTGCTGCAAGGTAAGCCAGGTGGGGCTGGGGGACTTTGAGGCAGAGGGGTGGGGAGACCCCTTTGGAACAGGATGACACAAGCAACAAGCTGCTCCTGGAGCTGCCCAAGAACAGGAAAGCATTATAACTGGTTTCTCTCTGTATTGCCACCTAATTTGCAAAACACACCAGCCTGAGTCCTATAAATTCTCCCCCAGAAGCATCAGGGTAATATTTCACTGTTTCATCCCATTATCATGGGAACAAAGGGTAGAGAATCCATTAGCTGCTGGTCCAGGTGACCTCACTATTCTGCCGTTCCAATGGCTCCCAGATTAAAGACTTCCTCTCACACTGGCGCAGGCGAAGACAAAGGACAAGAATAATTACACCTAATTAGGAACGGGATTTGGGCATGGAGGGTCCTTCCTGAAGCTCAGGTGGGAACAGTTTGTGCCTCTGCTAGGATTCCACAGAGAAAACGCCCTTCTTCTCTGCACCCATCCAGTGATCCCTGGTGTGATCTTTTAGCATCAGGTAAATCACAATGATGAAACATGATGGAGGGGGCCATAAATTGTCTGCCTCAGTTGTTCTCATGGGACATGGTGACCCAGGATGGGGCTTGCAGCTTTGCTGGACGTAGTAAGCATGAAAGAAAAAAACAAAAAAGAAGCCATCACCGGGGAAAGCCTTGCTTGATTCTCAACCCCTTACCCTCCAGATGGTTTTTTGTATTCCCAAAAGCTTTGACAGAGAGTAGTAAAAAGAGCCTTGGGCTGGGAGTCAGAGGCCCTAATTCTAGTCCTGACTCTGCCCCCACATCGCAGCGGCCCTCAATTTTCTTCTCCGGGAAAAGAAAGCAAGTTGAAGCCATGTCAAATGGTGTGGGGCAGTTCAAAGAGTAGGAGTTCTGGGGTAGACAGACCGGGTCCCTATGCGCGCTGTGCCAGTTCCTACCTGTGTGAATTGGCTGGAGTCACTCTTCTGCAAGCCCCAGTTTCTGGGTCTGGGAAATGGGGTGAATTACAATACCTGCCTCATAGGGTTGCTCAGATCATTTCTTTAGACAACATACACAGTGACCAGCATGGACCAGGCATGTAGTATTGCTCAGTAAGTACTTGTTGGATAAATTAACTAATTAATTAATTAACAGGTAGTTTGGTTTACTATAAGGAAATAACTGTATATTTTCACAACGACTTTTACTCCCAAATGTAGTCCTATGCCTTTAAAAAAGCTCAAAGGGGCCGGCCCAATGGCGTAGTGGTTAAGTTTGCATGCTCTGCTTCAGCAGCCTGGGGTTTGCAGGTTCAAATCCCGGGTGCGGGCCTACGCACTGCTCATCAAGCCATGCTGTGGTGGCATCCCATATACAAAATAGAGGAAGATGGGCACAGATGTTAGCTCAGGGCTAATCTTCCTCAGCAAA